GCATCTGGTGGCATGTTATCATCCTGTGATTGTTGGCCACTGACAGTACCTTCATCACCCAGTTCAAAAGGAAAATCATCACTAAAATCAAAACTGTCATCAGTTATGTACTTGCTGGCACATCCATTTTTTTCTGGAACAAATTGTTTATCTAGAACTACTTCACAAACTTTATCTTTCTTATCATTTTGCAAGTTTTGAGATAAAAACTCATTTGTTTTAATGCTCTCTCCAGCTGTCTCAATCTGCAACACATCTTGCAGGAAATCCTGCCAAACAAACAAACAAAAAAATCAATTTACTAAGTAAAACTACCAACTATATACATAAATGTAAATAAAAGTGGGTGGAGGAAAAGAAAAGGTAAGTGAATATGGTGATGAAGATGGGGTTGGTGGTGGTGGTGACAATGACTATGATAAGCTGATGATTATTTTAAATTTATGATGATGGTGACAATGATAAATGTGATGATGTGAGGATGATGGAAATAATGTGTCATTCCTTTTTTATGTATCTATTTATCTTTTTTTCCCTCTGTGTCATACTTCCTATGTAAATGGTTAACGGTTAAAAACAAATAACTGTGCTGGACATTAAAGGTCATAAAGCACTATGGTAAAGTATTGTGGCTAAAAGGGTAAAACTGAGTTAACAATTAGGAGAAAATGTGTTAATGTCAAAAGATAAAAAGCATTATAGGATAGTGTGGTAGTGAAAAAGTAAAAGAAGGGAGCAAATGAAGTAAAACAGATTAATAAAAGAGGAAAGGGTTTAGGGCATAGAGTGAAATGGAGTGCATCTGTGGCTCGGGAAGCAATAGGACACTGTTTAAGGAAAACAGGCAATACATGTAAAGATGGCTGTTGCAGAAATGACAGAAGAATCTGAGAAATGAGATATGGGAACTAGGGAAGGTGGTGAAGTATCAGGAAGAATGTCAGGGGGGGAGGGATCCGCCAAAGGAAATTGTTGTGACAGAAGGGATTCACGTGAGCATCCAGGTGGTAGTGGTAGGAAAATGGGGAAAGAAGGGGATATAATGCACATGGAGGAGATGATGTGTGTTGGGAGAGAGAGAGGAAGAGGGAAAGGGGGAACTTGAATAGGAGGGATACTGTAGAGGGAATAGGAATAGAGGGATTGGAGTGGGGATGAAGGAGCAGGTTTAGGAGGTTTTGGATGTCTTAGAGTTACCGAAGGGGAATTGGGGAGGCCTAAGAAACAAATGTTCTCTCGTGAGAAGTGGGGACATGTCCAAGGAGTAGAGGAAGAAGAGGGTGTAGGAGAGGATGCGGTAGGTTGCCTGGTGACAGGTTAAGTGAGGAGGAGGAGTGGTAGGCATTGGAGAAGGGATAGAGATTGGTGTATCAGGATTTAGATTGGAAAAGAAATTTGAATAGTGGAAAGGGAAAATAATTGTAAAATGGTTCTGGGTAGAGGGAAGAGATTCTTGGGGAGGCCTGATTTAAATCTGAGAACTGGTACCTCACATTCAAGCTTATAGGCAGGGCAACTACTATAAAATATATTATGGGAGCAACCACAATTGGCACACCTACATGACAGAGCAGAACAAATTAAACTGTCATGACCAGGTTAGGCACATAGAGGGCAGCAGGCTGTAAGAGCCCAAATGTTGGGCCTTACATGTATGGTAGATGGCGAACTTAGGGTTTAACGCAGACAACCAAGACGTCTTGACTCCTTTAAAAATAGTCATGTTGGAGTGCGCCTGCTCCTCAGAGCAAGGTGTTGCTCCTTGCCTCCTCACAAGGGAGTCTGCCTGATCTCCTATAAAGTGGTCTAAAGATCACACTAAGTCACATTGTTAACATGTGACAACCGGTGATGAACAAGCAAGCGTTACATCAATACATAGCTCTTGTGGAAGAGATAGACAACACAACATTAGAATGTTTGGTGTGGTAAGAAGAGAGGAATGAACAAGGGAAGCAATGGTCAGGCGTATATGCATATGTATATGTATGTGTGAAGATAGGTATATGGCAAACATGTAAGATTATATGAATATGTATCATATAGTAATTAGATAAAAATAAAGCTGGGTTACACAGACTATGGAGTGACATATGTGGTGTATGTAGTGTGTGTGGTGAGTAGTGAGTGCGTGTGTATAGTGTATGTGTGTATGTCGTGTGTGTGTGTGTGTGTTTGTATGTGCGAATGTAGGTGCCTGTGTGTGTGCACCTATGTCTGTATGTATGTGTGTATGTGTGTGTGTGTGTGTCTGTGTGTGTGTGTGTGTATGTGTGTGGTGTGTGTGTATGTGTGGTGTGTGTGTGTGAGTGTGGTGTGTGTGTGTGTGTGTGTGTGTGTGTGTGTGTGTGTGGTGTGTGTGTTGTGTGTGTGTGTGTGTGTGTGTGTGTTGTACGTGTGTGTGGTGTGTTGTGTGTGTGGGTGTGTAGTGTGTGTGTTTATGTGTGTATATCTGTGTGATGTATATGTATGTGTAGTATGTGTTTGTAGGTGTTTGTGT